CACACTTCAACATGATGCGAACAAAAACAACAGACCGTTGGTTTGGTGGACCACCACTCTACCTCCAGAGCACAAAGCTCTTGAAAAACCCAAATCTGTTAGCTTCAAGTGGCTCGAAGGCGAAAGTTACATAATCTGGACACAACTCCAATAAATGGGTTGCTAGCAAAAACCATCATGCACGGTGCAGTTGAGGGAAGAAGAGCTGCAGGAAGGCCAAGGGGACAATGGCTGACGGACATAAAGAGGTGGACGGGAAATGCACAAGACTGGCAGACAGGACAGGTGATGATGTCATCAAAGTGCCCCAACGGCCCTCTGGAAACAGCAGTGACCTGCATGATGTGTGGCTTATTCCATTTCCAATGCTTGCGTTATTGGGTGTATTGAACACCCAAATGGCGTGTAGGCCCTATGACCCTGTATATTTGAAGTCAAGGTTTTCTGTCCTCTTCAACACGCTCAGGCCAGCTGTGGCTGAGGGGGGGAGAGCCAGACGAGTGTCCCTGATATCAACTTGGGTAACTTCAAACATTGTTATTTCCCATCCATATCCTTCAAAGTAGCATAACAAGTCTGGAGGGAGCGGGGAAAGGGTGATTGAGCAGTAAGCCAGTTTCCCTACAATCTGTCAGCGTTAGCCCATCCCCCCTGTCCGAGTGCAGTGATCAGTCAGAGCTTTAACACTGTGATTAGGTTATTCTTTTTCATTATCTCATTTGTCAAAAGGGCAATTTGTATGTGTCTGTGTGGATGGGTCAATCATCTGTCTACCGATTCATTCACAAGCCATCGTCCTTTCCTTCCTTCTTTTCCTTCTGCTCTTTCTTTCTTTGTTCCTGCCACGATCACAATAGCTAGCACTCTATATTATCTTCAATTAACCCGGAGGAAAACTGTGTTACATTGATTTTTTTGAGACTCAGAAGGATGTAGTTGCTCAACCAGAAATCAATTCAGCTTTGAAGATGGATGGACTTCTGCATCCTAACAATAATATCAGCATGGAACCTCCCCGAATCAATTCAATGATGACCTCAGTTATTTTGTCGTTTCTTCTAAGCGTGGAATTGCTACAGCTTTTGTTCACTCAATGGCTTGAACATCTGTGTTTTATTGGTAATTATAAACCGTCTTGTGCTGCAATCAACAATTAGTTTGTGGTCCGCTGAGCACAGATGAGGTCATAAAACATAATCGCAACTAGCGAAACTTGCAGTAAGGAGTTATCTTCCCCCGGATAATGGATTATAGATTCAATTTATTTATTTCAGTGTAAACTGAGCAGACAGGGCGGGGCGCGAAAAGAAAATGACATCTGCTCTTAATTGACCATTGGTGGAGCGGTGCAGTGGAGCATGTAGAGCAGCATCAAGGAGTGTTCAAGGCTACGTCAGTGAGACCTGCTGCAAAGTGTTCATCGACATTTGTTCGCTGTTGATGTGCATCACCGCCCCCGAACAACTGAGAGACAACACCTAATATTCTGAACTCAACTCAATAGCAGATCAGCAGACTTTGCAGACACACAAAACATTGTTTCAAATCATAGTGACAAAAGTGTCAAGCGAGATTTTGACCGAAACACTAGAAAACACTTTTTTAGGAGAATTCAATTGTGCCCTTATATGTAAAAACATGTAGGCAGTTCAAAATGTGTTAACATTGTGTGTTCCTTATGAGAACGAGTTAAACCTTCTGCGCTATTGGGTTTTATGAAATTTAATTTGAAATAGGTGCACTTTGAACAGTGAAGTGTTGGTATGTTAACATTGACGGCAAAATAAATGTGAATTGAAATCTTTGAATCTATGAAATCTCAGTTGAAAAGTAATAAATGAGAACATTCAATATTTCCAGTGACATGTGAGTGGATGTGAAAAGCCTTATTTGTACTTTTACATTCAATTTAAGAGTGAGAGATGTTTCAATTGTTGGAAGTACAGCAATGAAAGCAGTAAGGTGTCAGTGAGAGATAGAGCAGTTACATTTGAAGAGTAAGAGTGGAAGCTGTCAAATATTTCAGTTTATGTAACCACCAGTTATAAGTAATAAAAGCTTTAAAATAAATTCCAGTTGAAGAGGAAGTGATTTAGACAGCTACAGTGCTAGTTGCAAGACGGTTCAAATATGTGCACCTCAAAGAGTCCCATTCATGCTTTTTGGGGTTAACCCTTTCCTGTAGAGTGTTCTATAATATTTGGTGCATGTAAATGGTCTGCAAAGGGAGTTTCTCTCCCCCCCCCCTGCCTGAAACTCCTCTATTGGAGTCCTTTATTTACGTCCATAACATAGTGACATCACTATGTAACACTTAGGCCCCGCTCACACGGGACCGTTTGCGTTTATGCACAGTATGCGTATTCAAAAAAGTCTTCCGTTCACATGCATTTGTTTCATTTAACGTGTCTGTTCAAACGAGGCCGCTGGAAACGCTGTAGTACATATGCTGGGACTGTAAGTGGCGCTGTAACTTCCGCCAAAATACACCAAAAGCCGCGAAGAAGAGCAACCCAAGCAGCCCCGCTGCAATGTTGCCATGGCTACCCTTCTGTTTAAGCCCCGAAACTGAAACTGAAACTGAAAGAAACTGAAGCACGTCTCCGTGGAGAGGACGGCTCAGAAAGAGAGAGATATTCTCTACAAACACCGGGTGAGATCCTCCTTTGTCAATATAATGGATCAATGCATGAAATCTGACTCTGTTTATTTTGTTTAAGGAGTATATTGGGCGTTAACAATTCTGGTTTGCCTTTTATAATATTATTTCATTCAAGAACCCCTTGTGCGTTTAATTAACACAGCTATTTTTGATAGTTGCTTCAGCAGTGAGCGGGAGAGGTGTGGAGAGGCGGGGCTATCGTTATTTTTTCAGGAAATATTCGTATCGAGGTGATTACACGGACTCGGTTGACCCCCCAGAGCGTTTCGTTTGCAAATCTATCCACCTTGGGACCCGTTATTGTTTGTGGGGTCAGTTTCTATCGGCCTCGTGTAAATAATAGGGCTATACGCACGCGAAACTATGCAGATACAAGCAGTTTTCTCCTCGTGTAAACGGCGCCTTAGGCTTCCATTGGCTAGCGCCCCAACAGATTGTATGTGAAAGGCTATGGGGCGGGACATCTCTACTCTGTTGACCAATCACAACAGCGCAGACTGGGCTCTGGTTTCAGTCAGACGGTGACAAGAGGTGCTGCAGCACAGGCAGTATGATAAAATATGAATATAATCCTGTGCATCTACCTGTCTGTCTGTCTGTCTGTCTGTCTGTCTGTCTGTCTGTCTGTCTGTCTGTCTGTCTGTCTGTCTGCCTGTATGCCTGTATGTCTGTCTGCCTGTATGTCTGTCTGTCTGTCTGTCTGCCCGTCTGTCTGCCTGTCCGTCTGTCTGTCCGCCTGTCTGTCTGTCTGTCTGTCTGCCTGTATGTCTGTCTGTCTGTCTGTCTGTCTGCCCGCCTGCCTGTCCGTCTGCCTGTCCGTCTGTCTGTCTGTCTGTCTGTCTGTCTGTCTGTCTGTCTGTCTGTCTGTCTGTCTGTCTGTATGTCTGTCTCTTTGTCTGTCTGTCTGTCTGTCTGTCTGTCTGTCTGTCTGTCTGTGTGTCTGTCTGTCTGTCTGCCTATCTGCCTGTCTGTCTGCCTATCTGCCTGCCTGTCTGTCTGTCTGTCTGTCCTTTCAGCTGCTGCTCTGCCTCTCTTCAGACAGCAGCTGTGCTGATTGGAGGAGAGCTAAATTGTGAGCTCGGTCACGGCTCAGCACTCCTTGAGATAATGCAATGACAATTAATGGGAAAGCGGCTGCCATTCGCTCATTTGTCCATTCACCAGTAGAGCAGCAGCATGGGGGACGGACAGAGCTGCAGTGACTCTGGACACCGCCCAGCAGACGCTCATATTGAACTGCTGCTGATATCATGATGAAAGTCCATGCAGAGACACACTCTATTGTATCTGAATATCAATTTGGTATCAGATTAAAATCCCCAGAACTGTTTAAATATGACTGACTACTTTCACTGCCACGTTTCTACAGATATAACTAAAATACTGAAAAAACTGAAACGTTGACTTTAATTAAATGTATTATGTCAACAAATTAGGTTAGTTGAAAGCAATAATATTAAGTTTAAATAGAAAATAATAGGTTCAACGTTATACTATTGCTTTCAACTAACCTAATACAATTATGTGGACCCTGTTGACATATTTAATTAAAGTCAACGTTTTTTCAGTGCAGTCTAAATGTCTAAAATCCCAACAATAAATAAATGGTTGTCAAAAGGTGCAGCAAGTAGAGTTCAGGTGCGGTGCTGAAGCTCTGGAACCCATGTTAGAAATGCTAGATCCTTTATTAACTCAGTGACACTTAAGTCAATACATTATTTACCATAGCCAGGGGCCCACACAGCAGAGCCACTCTGAGCTCTGGCCTACTGAGATAGTCCCTGACAGAATGGCACATATTTCCTTGAAAAGAAAGAGCGAAGGCAGACCCCTGGGCATCTCTTCAAATTTCCTTCCAGTGTGTGCTGTGAAGTGGAAATTACAGCCACACTATAAAGCTACAGAGAAAAACATTTTCTATTTAATTTCTGTGTGAAGTTGTTGCCTATTAATACATGTTCCTCTGTAAGTCAATACACTTGTTGGATAAAATTGCAAATGTACACAAATATTATCTCTGTAGAAGTCTAGCTTAGGGAATTGTAATTACACATGTGTTTGTGTGTTTTTCTATAAGACCCAAGGCAAGTTTTTTGTTCTGTCTTTACGTACAATTAATTTAACTGAAGGCAAAAGCTAGTAAAGTATGACATGAAATTACATCATCTCTGTTATTATGCTAGTGGGGGAAGTGATAAAGCTGTGTATTAGCAAAGTCCCTGTTTGCATGGCTGATCAGGCTAAGCTTCTTGTGACTGCATTACAAAGCAAAAGCTCAGTCAAGTACACAAAATGAGAACAGATCAAAGTGAATGCAGTAAGGGGTGGGTCACTGTACCTGGTATTGGTTGGCCTTCGCAAGCTCCTGATTGGCGGATTCCACGTTGGATGATGCAGTCTGGATGTAATCTTCAATGCTGTCTGAAGAAACAAGGAGCGGATTGATTGTTAATGGCTTTTTCACCAATTTATATTGTGTTCTACATACGCACAACAAAAGGTAGCTTATGTCATGTTGTAATTTTTTATTGTAAAAATTAACACACATGTTGCCTTTCACCTTATAATATCTCTGGTACTCCAGGGATTATGTATTTCAGGTGTATATCTTTTTTTTTTTTTAAAAAGGCAAAATATAAGCAGCATAGGCCAAGATGACTTTTAGTATTTTTAAGCTCCAAAAAAACATACAATTCCCATTCTGTCTTTGATTAAACCCCCCCTAAATAACCACCAACTTCTTTATATCTTCCTTTATATCTAGCTTGTAACACGTATTTTCTGTTATAAATGTGTAGCCCCAAGCCAAAGCCTAAATGGCTGCTGTTACTATTGTTTGACAAACTATCTGGCTGTAGCACTGGTTTCCAGATATGGTTGGTGAGCACATGTAGTACCTCACAACCTTATTCAATGAATCAAACTGTTGTTTGTGTAGATGTCTCAAGCATTCCCAATTTTGACACAAATGGGTCCCCATTTTTCTTCAAACAATGGGAAAAATATAGGGAAAGAAGACTACCATTTACTCTTTTCAGAGGACAACAAAAATGTAATTTCATTCAGCTGAAGCTGTTATCCAAAGCAACTTATAATAAACACAACTACTAGATACAAACTCAGAACCGAAACCTGCAGGTACATTCGATTCAAATCAACCGAACCATTGTAAGTGATGATGCATTAGTTTAAAATAGGCTTGCTCCTTTAAGTACTACAACATTATTTTATTTTTTGTGTGAGGTTTATTGGCCAATGTGCATTCGAAACAGGTGTATTTTCAGTCTGCACTGAAAGAAGTGTAGACTTTCTGCTGTCCTGATATCAGTGGGGAGCTCGTCTGTTTTGGAGCAAACAGGTGTGTTTTACTTGAGATGTATCGGGGTCTAGGGTGAACAGGTCTCCTGCTTTGTGCAAGACTGCACAACGTTTTTATCATCTGTCCCGCACATTTAGCCGATGTTGATTGACAGTCGCCCGTCTAAAACTTGGCTTTTATCCAAGGCTGTTTAGAAAACAGAGGATTATCACCATTAGCTATGTCAGATGTCAATAAATGATCAAAGAAATGTATTTACTAATGGGTGTAGCCGGTGGAGGGCGATTCCCAGAATGTTTTTGTGAAATGTTCCAGAACAATTTTTCAATCGCGCATGGAGGTGATTAAGCAACATTACATGTGAAACTCACAGGAAATGCTCATAAAGAAAATATCAATCTATGGATACATTGCTTATGAAACTTGTTCTGGATGTAGGAAGGACCGGATCCTTTAACAACGCCAAACGTACTCTTCTCCAATCTTTATGTCTCAAACTTTTTGTATCATCTTAAAGGTCACCTATTATGCAAAATCCACTTTTTCATGTCTTTTATACATAAACATGATTCTGAAAGTTTCAGGAACAAAGATTCTCTCACTTTTCTCCCTGATCCATTTATTAAAAAACCTGTCTGAAAATGAGCTGAGCTACTTTATGATGTCATAATGTTTTTTTGCCCCCCCACCTTATCACCTGAATCTCCTCCTAGAGCACCATTGTGTTCTCTTAAACCAAATATCTCTCAGAGGGGCGTGGGGAGGGGCTCCTTATTTTCATCTAAAGTAAAAGACAGAGAATCAGCACTTTTGAAACAGGGCTGAAACAGAGGGGATTATGGGATGCTACAATGTTTATAGCTGTTTGGTGTTTGGAGCAAAACACTTTAGAGACATGTTTTGTATCTGAGAACTATAATATATTGATGAAAAACAGTATAATAGGGGACCTTTACGTTTAGTGGAAGGACTGACTATGGTTTATACTGTTACCATGCACACAGCCTTGACAACACATTACTTGACAGCCCCCAGCCGTCTGTGTTACCAAGGACTACTGGTCTAATAGTTAACACTGTTAAAACAGCATGGCCTCCTTTAAAGGCTGTCAATACACAGAAGTTAATGGGATGAGACGGAACATGTTTAATGAACTGGATAGTGTAAAATATTTGTTATCACCACATTATTACCCTCATATATTTACAACTGGCCAATAACAGTGAGAGTGCTATTGATTTTTTTGGTGTTGTGAGAGTGGAAAGGCTGCAGCCAGTTCAGAGCTGTGGGTAAAGACTCAGTGTTTCATGTTGTGATGGCCTCTGATAATTACTGCACCACTTGTAGCGATTACCTTTAGAATTTAAAAAGAGCATGATGTTAGGTGAACAAATTGAGCCGATTGACTTAATGCACTTACTGATTTTGTGAGTTGAGAAGGCAAAGGAACACATGTTCAGACTCACCAACTAAGATCAGAGTAATATATTTATTTTTGCTAAGTAGGATAATATCCACATATTAACAGAAAACAGAGTAAAAGGGTAAAAAGTGAAATGGCTACCTTAATTTTTAAGATATGTAAAAGCTTAAAAACGAAGGTTACTGCAACTCCTAATCCAATCAGCTGCAGCTATATTAAGAACTAAGTAATACATATTAGCATGCTCAAATGGTGAACATGTCAGACATTAAAACTTCTCAGTTTTTGCATGTTAGCATTGTCCTAATGACCATGGTATTGTGGTGATGTGAGCATTTCGGTTAGTGCCTCAGTAGAGCCTTATAAACCCATCAACATTAGCTATAACACCTAGCATGATATATTCAATGACAATCTGTGTTCAAAATGATCGTTAATTTGCAAAAACTCAAACCATTCATTACGTTTTGGCTGTTCAGTAGTTAAGGATCCATCACATACATCATTAACATTTCCTGAGGATATTCATGGTCCCCAGGAGATGATTCCTTTTGTGATAATGCCTAGAATATTTCGACTGTCAGGAAAACCTGACACTTTTATTGATGTGACATTGAGTTTCTCATACTCATAATCAAAATCATAGGTCTGGTTTTGATTCATTGAACACCCAGGGGAAACACCTTTTTTGTTAGGACCCTGTGAGATTTTCAGTGCTCCATTTAGGAAATATTAATTCAAACTAAATCAAAATACCATAAAAACTGACTGATCTAACAATATAATATATGATAGAAACAAGCACAGAGTATGTCTATTCTTGATATCTTATCATCCACAAAAAGAATGCACTGTTCTGATGTCTACACATGGATACATATTTAGCACCACTTTTGTTTAGTATGCCAAAGTTAGTGCCTGCTTTCTCAACAAACCTTGTTGATTGCATATTTAGACTCACAGGCTTTAATTTAGTGTGTCCTTAGCTAGCATGAATAGGCCATAAAAGCACTAACCCTTCCTTCTTGAGCCTTTTCATTTCTTTGTATTACCTGCAGCTTTTGCTACAAACGCCTCCCCAGCACAATCACATATTATTCATATCCGCCACTGCAACAAGAGAGCCTTCAAAAATGGCCAAAGGCAATTTCAGTGCATCTCTTTTTAATGGGGAGAGATCCATTGTCGGTGATGCTCATATTGGACTTCTGATGTGGGATAATGCATTTGTCAGAGTCCTCTTCTATCTATCCGTTCGCCCACTTTGGGGGGAGCATGCTGTTTTCATTTACCTTCCATGTCTAAAAGAGCATATCAGTAGTCTTTCAAATGCAAATGACAAAATAGCTGAAAAACTCAGTGTTGTTCATGCATGTCTGATTATGCTGAACAAGCACAAGATGCAGCAGAATTCACAAATAGAAGAAAGAACCAAGAGTGATGGAAAGAGGCATTTCATGTTGTTCATATAACTGAGGATTTGGCATCTTGAATATATCGAACATTACGGAGCCCCCTAGGGGACATGGAGAAGAAAACCTTTTTGTTTTGGAAAAAAAAAAAAAAAAAATGTTTTGCGAGATCTCGCAAAACCTTTGCGAGATCTCGCAAAACATTTTTTTTCTTCTCCATGTCTCCTAGGGGGCTCCGTAGAACATAACCAAATTGGGGAGTTTTTATTTTATTAATGAATTCAAACTCCTGCAAGAAGTAGAGTTCCCAGAATCTTCCATCAATGCTTCCTTCATTCTGTATATTAAGCTTGAAGCTAAAGGATGTTTAAACGTTTGTTGCGATGACCCTGAGAGCTCAATGTAGTGCAACCAGAAAAAACAGATGCATAAAGACCCAACAAAATAAAATGACTAAAACTTCTTCAAGAACTTGACAACAGGTGCATTATTCAGAAAAAAACCTGTGGCAGATTTACCAAACCAAATATAGATTGCAAAAAACAATACAGACACACTGTAGATCACACAAAAAAACTAAAATAAAGGGTAAAACTGTTTTATTTAATTCATTTATTAGCAATGAGCTCATGATATTTTGCGTTTCTTTTATCTTTTTATAATCTCCTTGAATAAGATTTCATTGTATCATTATATTAATATATATGTAAGTGATCGTTACATACAGTATACAGATATATTAAATATGTATTTTCTTCGAAAGATAAGTCTGCATTGATGGATATTTTAATTAGATTAGTTATTATAGTTTTACTATAACAAAAAAAATCTTTTCAGTACATTTTTGTTCATACAATTATAACAGTATACTGATAATGGTGTCACACTTCTCCACCGATCAACAGGAGGCAGTGATGCACCAAAAAACGCAGCAAGGCACCAACAAAGGCATGCAGGTGAACCTTGATGAATATAATGCATGTTTTGCAAATTATTAGGAACAAAACACATTTATTACATTAACCTCAAAGATTCAAATAAGTTTTGGTTAAAAACACAGACTGTACACTTACATTCCTATACTGTACCTACATGTTTTAACATTGTAAAAACTGTTATTTGAGCATCAGTTTCACTTACACTTTAACTGAAACGTGTGAGCAAGAGTAAATACAATTTCTTTAAAAAAGTAGTAGACAATGTTAAATTCGGAGTGAAATTATTCAATAGATTTAGGAGAAATGTACCAACGGCTGGAACTGTGATA